ATTTTACTGAACAAACTAAATTTTACTGAACAAACTAAATTTTACCGAACAAACTAAATTTTAATGAACAAACTAAATTTTACCGAACAAACTAAATTTTACTGAACAAACTAAATTTTACCGAACAAGCAAAATTTTACAGAACAAACTAAATTTTACCGAACAAGTAAGATTTTACTGAACAAACTAAATTTTACTGAACAAACTAAATTTTACTGAACAAACTAAATTTTACTGAACAACTAAATTTTACTGAACGAACTAAATTTTACTGAACAAACTAAATTTTACTAAACAAACTAAATTTTACTGAACGAACTAAATTTTACTGAACAAACTAAATTTTACTGACCAACTAAATTTTACTAAACAAACTAAATTTTACTGAACAGGATCGTTCTGAGGAATAAAAAAAACTGAACTACTATCCTGGTTTTCAAGTACCCCAGCGGGGATAGGGTTAAGAAGTCTTATATTCCTTTCAGTTTGATGTTGTTAATTAGCTAATATAGTGAATCCTAGATATATGAATACATACAATAGTTTTTTATAATGTCGTATTCTCAACATGTTCAAGATTAAATTTCGTGGAAACCCGATTATAATGTATCAATATATTCATATTTCAGAGCTGTTAATTTATCTTGAATTAAAAATAAAAAGCAGTTTCTTAAGAACTATGCAAAAACCTCTAACTCTACAATTATATCATAGATATATTTACAAAAATCGTACTCAGCAGCTTTCTTTTTTTGTGCAAAAACATTGTAAAACATTACAGCTGTCCTAAATTTTTAAATAAATATCAAGACGACATTTCATGCGTTTTTGCTATATATTCATATATGTGAGATTGGCGGTATTTTTAAGTACAGCTGGAAAGTCAACTCAATACGTAAAGTGGGTGTGTGTACACTGCACTATTTCATGTTTATTTGACTATTCAAAATCTTAATGTATCAGTACAGTACAGTACAGTACAGTACAGTCGTCTTCATATTCCAAAGAATTATATGTCAGGGTTCAATAAATTCCTATCTCAATCCCATTTGAGAATGACAAATTTGAAAGAAATTGTGGCAAATTATTTTTAAATGATAATTGTTTTTTTTTAATTGGTGGCATTTTTTCCAATTTGGTGGCAATAAGGGGCAAATGTTTTTCTAGAATTTGAAAATGTTTTTTTTTAATTGAGGGCATTTTATTTTCCAATGGGGGTAAATGTGTTAGTGGGATTTGAAAATGCGTTTTAATTGGGGGCATTTTTTTAACAATTGGGGAAAAATGTTTTAGTGGAATTTGAAAATGTTTTTTAATTGGGGGCATTTTATTTTCCAATTGGGGGAAAATGTGTTAGTGGAATTTGAAAATGTGTTTTAAAATTGAAGGCAAAAAATAATTTTGGGATCGAGAAAACCAGCTATTTTGAGAATTATATGGACCCCATAAATGTTGGCAATCCAAAGAGATTAAAAAATTTCAAGATGCCGTAATTTTTGTAATTAAAGTTTATTCAAATATACCAATAGAATTCTAATTAAAGATAATTTCATTAAAAACTAAAACTGTTTAGTTACAAAGGACCTTTGGCAGTTGGTGCCTTTTCCCTGATTGCATACCTAGGATTGGTGAGTCAATGTTTTTAATCTAAATTTAGAAAATGTATTTAATAAATTTTTCATTGTTTGAGGAGAAATTGATATTTGTTATCGTTTTAAACATTAAAGACCATAAATTTTGAAGGCTCAACACAAAAATACGAATTTAAACTTAATTCTAACTTTGCTCGCCAGAGATATGTAATGTTCTTGTCAAGTTGTTTTGTTAACCCAACAGTGGGACGTTAAGTTACTTTATGTCCCTTGAGACAAGTAAGTAAAATAACGACCGTCTCTGCGAAGTTTTCATAAAAAATTGCGCATTTTCAACTCAAAGACAGTTTTTTGGGAAATTAAAAAATGTTACTGAACCTCAACCAAACAAAGTTGGTGTTGGGAACCCTTGGTAAAGTAAAAATCCCTTAACTTCCCTGTAAAGTTGTGAAAGTAATTATTATTTCTTAAATCATAAAATGGTATGTGTATACTCTGAGATTTTAAGAACTTAAACCCAAGTGAAACCCTGGTTCTTTGCGTCTTCTTAGACCCAAGTAAAGCTCAAGTCAAGACTCGTGTTTTGGATGGCCTTGGGTTTAGTAAAAACCAACCGCTTTGGTGTTTTCGCTATTGAAAAGACAGGCCTTCAACAGATGATGCTAGTAAATTTGGTAAAAACTATTATATTTGTACATTTAAATCTTGGGAATTATTTGTAGTGTCAAGTTTGATCAAAGATATAAACATACTACGAAAATTATGGATCTACGTAAAGTTCGAATTTCGAAATGGACATCTCCTTGTCACAGCTAATCTGTCTGCTTCAGAGATAAAGCTTTCAAGCAGTCTTTAATTGGTTGAATCAGAACTAATCCTCACTTGGGCTTTACCTACGCTCTAGTTTTTGAATAGGACGGAGTTTACTTGGGTTTAAGCCTTTAAGGTCTCAGCTCAGGTTTACACTCTAGGGCGCAGCATGGGATATTCTTTTACGGTCATCTTGGACTCCCCTTGAGAACTACCCAGACTGCGGGAGAAGGGAAGAAAGTATTGAAAAAGAAGACAGGTCCTTATATAAATAAAGTCATTTTCTTGCTTGTATGTGTAGATGGGCATAATTTCGTTTACAAACAAAAACTTTTCTGCACAAACTAAATTTTACCGAACAAGCAAAATTTTACTGAACAAACTAAATTTTACCGAACAAGTAAGATTTTACTGAACAAACTAAATTTTACTAAACAAACTAAATTTTACTGAACGAACTAAATTTTACTGAACAAACTAAATTTTACTGACCAACTAAATTTTACTAAACAAACTAAATTTTACTGAACAGGATCGTTCTGAGGAATAAAAAAAACTGAACTAACAAACACACGTTCAAATTTTACTGTACGATTTGAACAACAACAAACAAAATATGCCGTTAACAGCAAATGAACAAACAAGTAGAAAAATAGAACGCGAACATCTGTCTGTTTTTTTTTCAACAAATGTGAAGTAGCATTGAATTCAATTAAACGTTGACCATGATATTATTTTAGAATTTTTGCCAACTCAAGTTTCTTCAAATCGTTCATAAACTCCCAAGAGGTTGGAAGATTTTGCTTACAAGACTGTACCATGATACAACTGGATACAGTTTACAACCTACAAGGCCAATACAAGGTTGAATCTCCTATTTGGTTCAACAGTGAAAACAAACCTTTACAGTTCGAGAGCGTTGATATAGATGTTAGACTGGACAGGTAATCTATATCTATTGATTAGACTGGACAGGTAATCTATATCTATTGATTAGACTGGACAGGTAATCTATATCTATTGATTAGACTGGACAGGTAATCTTGTTGACAGATAACAGCGACACAACAGATGAACTAGTTTATTTAAGGCCCGTCTGAACTCCGGGTAGGTAACTAAATACAGTCCGGATAATTCCTTGGTCGATCGGCCACAAACACACACCACAGAGTAACCCCGTCACAAGAAATCGATAACAAAAACCTGAATTCCCAAAAAAATAACATAAATTATAGGTCATGGTTACTTGTACAATGTTATAATAAATGTTAATAATAGAAAAAATCTTACGATTTATTTTTCCATGGTTCGGGGAAACTTATTGTTGGTCAGTATTGAAATTCTATTTTTAAACTTCTGAAAAATTACAGCTGAATATTTTACGAAATTCACTAATGCTTCATATGAAAATATTTTGTTTAACTTTAATGATTTCACAATAACAAAAATGGTTGAAGTTCCGTGGGACAAAGAACAAAGAGTATGCGGGCTGAAATAATTTGGTTTGGCCTGTCTCCGAGAGGAAATTTTACGTTGAAGACGACATTATCCAGAGGTCTTAAAGTTAATGGTTAAAAAATCTATATCTATTGATTAGACTGGACAGGTAATCTATATCTATTGATTAGACTGGATAGTAATGGTAATTTACTTTTTAACTAGTTTCAACTTCATTAAAATGACCAGTGTGGCCAATGCCTTTAAAGGGACTGGAAGTGAAAATTCAAGTTTCAAGTGTTATACAAAAGTGTCTTGCGCATTTCTACTGCAGGAAAACAATCAGAATAAAACACTTTTGAACCGAGATAAACGGTAAGATCTTCCACATTATTGATCAGATAAAAGTTTCAAGTTTACCAACGTAAGTCAGTCATAGCCGTCTTATAATGGATGACCTCATAAAATTACGTTTACAGTCCCTTTAAACATACTTTTCTACACTCTACATACACAAATCCTATCTAGGCAACTTTTTTTATTCAGTTTATCCAAAAATGAGCCTACCTGAAAATGAGCCTACCTGGAAATGAGCCTACCTGAAAATGAGCCTACCTGAAAAAAATCAGTATATCACATCAATCCAGCAAGCCTTAATTTTTTGGCATAAAACGTGCTGGGTCCAATGCACCAATAGACACTGGGTGCACTAGACCTAGTTAGGGCTTGGCAAAAAATGCAACAACAAAGAATTCAAGAAAAGGGATGATTTTAAACAATGACTTTTCTGTAAACGAGATTTAACCCATGAAACCTCTTGTTGTCAACAAACATCGTTTAAATGAATAAACGTACAAAAACATTAACTGAACAGTTTTAAAAGGAGTGTTCGCGAAAAATGAAAAGGGTTATAGGCTTACGGCGAAAAATAATAGATTTTATCGCTACTAATCTTACTTCTATCGGTTGCGACTATAAGGAGAAAATTGTTAAAAACAACTTATACTGAAGAATGTAGCGTGCATACAAATTCAGAAAGTTGAAATTTTCAACTCATATCGTAAAATAATCAATTTAATTTCAAACAAATCTTTCATTACAACCTATAGTCATCGATTATTTTTCGACACATTAATATATAGGTAATATTTCATAATATTTTTTATTTATTCTAAATACTATTCACTTAATACGAATTTTTCTTGCTGTTGAAAGATGATGTAAAAGTTTTAGGATTACATGATATAAGATTAACATCTTAAAACCATATTAGATTTTTGTTATAACTCAGAAATATATAACTTCGTAGCAAATATGTTTACAAAATGTGCAATTGTACACACATTGTCAACAAGTTCAAATGTATTCCATTTTTTTTTTGGGGGGGGGGTTATAATATTTGGTTTTATCAATACTTGGTTCAGGCAAGATTTAATTTTAGTAAATCATGAGATACAATTATCTGGTGCTATGTCAATTGGACTAATGGTTGAATAGACTAACTCTCAATTCTACTTAAGTCAGAATTGTTCACTTTCTGAATTTGTGCTTTAGCCTTTAGTATATAAGTTTTAACTTGGCTTATAATCATTTAGAAGGAAAAAAATGTTTAAGTGCAAATTTGAAGGGTGTATAATTGAAAGTTTTGATATCCTGTCCAGCATTTTTTTGTCTAAAATTTTGATTCTGCTATTTAAAAATGAGTGTTATGAAAAACAACACTAATCTTGTTTTTTTGGACCCACCCTGTATTTTTTGGAAAGCAAAATATAATCTAAATTTTTTTGAAGGCTTATCTGTCCAAAATAATTAAAACTAATTATAATCATTTGCATAAAGGCGACAGCTCATCTGAACAGCTTCAATTTGTAATGTTAGACTTTTTTTGTGTATCATGATTAAATTATAACATAATTTGAACTAGGGCTGGGCGCGTTCCTGGTGGAACAATCGTTCTTTCTCGAGAACGAACAGAACGATCAAGAACGATCCCATCGTTCCAAAAAAATATTAGAACGATTAGTAAAAGAACGGAACGGCAATTGCTTGAAAAGAACGGTTAAAACCGTTAACGCATTCTTATTATCAAGAACTTGTTCTAAGTTGAGAACGCATTTTAAATCAGGAATGTGTTCTAAATCCTCCAAAAACCCGCCATCACCCCCCTTTCCTGGTCTCTGCTAAACTGACAACACCATAGATAAATAAATAAACATAGATAGCTTATGTATGCAAAATCACCAAGAATTGTACAGTCCGCGAACTCATACTTCTAGGGGTCAAAGTGTACTTCAATGATAAGCGGGGTGGTTTGGGGTTTTGATGGATTTCATAATGGAGTGTAAAATAATTCCGGGAATGGAACTAGTTGAACAACAATATTTTAATGAGCAATATCATATTGACGAGAACTGGAGAAGGGCATGAGAAGTATTAAACTAACTTAAATTTCTCTCTACAAAACTCATGTACACCACAAGTACTCAATGACATAAGAACAGCCAATGTTCACAACCGACCTAGTTAATCTATATGATAGGAATATCTTTAAAACATCTCTGTACATTTATATCTTTCAAGATGAAAAATGTCGTCTTATGCGCAATCTATCTTTATCTATGGACAACACTCAGACTACACAGCAGGTTTCAGTTTAACTTCTGTATATCGTACATATTAAGGATATTAGCACTCCCGCCCCTCCCCTCACTCTCACAAAATTATACATTGCTCACCCCAGAAATTATCTAAGCTTATTCTTTTAACTCTAAATTTAAAATATATAATTTAAAGTATTATTTACGGCCGTGAGGAACTCTTTATTAAAAAATTGTAATTTTTTTACTTTTTAACCAACTCTTTTCTATAAAACTTTTGTCTTGGATGGAATTGTTTTTTATTAAGAACAGAACGGGGGATGAAAATGTTCTTGATTAAGAACAGAACAAGAGGGATGCAACTGTTCTTCAACTAAGAACGGAACGGAACAGGAAGACCGTTCTTCTACTCAGAACGGAACGGAACGGGACGGAAAGGAACGAGAACGGCCGGATCGATAAAAAAGAGGAATGAGAACGGAAGGATTTATCTGAAGGCCCTCGTTCTAGAACGGAACGGAACGATTTAAAAAAAGTTGGAACGCGCCCAGCCCTAATTTAAATAACTGAATAAATTCAAATTATGTTAAATGCTTTTTTATTTCCAATATGGTTTCATAAAAATGTAATTGAGCGTTAGTTCAGATTGATGAAAACAAAATCATTTTTTTTAGTATATGTTACCCCTGGGATACCTTACCCATGGATTGCTTAAAAAAATTTAAGCCAATTTGGTCCAATTCCGTTTGACCAGATAAAGTTAAAATTTGAATATATATATATATATGAATATATGATCGAAGAACTTTATTATATCAATTATTTCCAAATAAGTGGATCATTTAGTTATATTTAGGGTTCCACAAGACATCACTTGCTTAGATAACTGTTATTTCTTTGTTCCCGAAGCACCTCTAAGTGAGTAGACTATGGGGATAAATATATCTATAATTAAAAACATCGTCAGAGCACATTTGTTTCGTTTCATTTTGATTTATCAAAGCTAATATCACGAACAAAAAACAAAAGTTCAAATCTAATTTCATTTTGGAATTCTAACACCGTACTTTTTCAGATAAAAACCGGAATTTATGCTATTTATCTGCTAACAGGTATTATTCTATTTTTTTCTGTTTTGATCTGACATTACAACGACAAAACTTTTAACTTCTTTACTTTGATTGACAAATGAGCAAATAAACGGAAAGGAACTATATATTCAACCTGAAAGGAACTATAGATCCAACCTGAAAGGAACTATAAATCCAACCTGAATGGAACTATAGATCCAACCTGAAAGGAACTATAGATCCAACCTGGAAGGAAGTATAGATCCAACCTGGAAGGAACTATAGATCCAACCTGGAAGGAACTATAGATCCAACCTGAAAGGAACTATAGATCCTACCGGAAAGAAACTATAGATCCAACCTGAAAGGAACTATAGATTCAACCTGAAAGGAACTATAGATCCAACCTGAAAGGAACTAGATATAGATCCAACCTGAAAGGAACTATAGATCCAACTTGAAAGGAATGATAGATCCAACTTGAAAGGAACTATATATTTAACCTGAAAGGAACTATAGATTCTGAAAGGAACTATAGATCGAACCTGAAAGGAACAATAGATCCAACCTAAAAGGAACTATAGATCAAACTATAGATCCAACCTGAAAGGAACTATAGATCCAACCTGAAAGGAACTATAGATTCAACCTGAAAGAAACTATAGATCCAACCTGAAAGGAACTATACATCCAACCTGAAAGGAACTATAGATCCTACCTGAAAGAAACTATGGATCCAACCTGAAAGGAACTATAGATCCAACCTGAAAGGAAATATAGATCCAACCTGAAAAGAAATTATAGATCCAACCTGAAAGGAACTATAGTTCCAACGTGAAAGGAACTATAGATCCAACCTGGAAGGAAAATTTGTTTGACTTTTTCAGTGAATTTGATTGTGTACTGTTAGATAGTGGAACCCCAAAGGAGAGTAATGAAACAGCAGCATTCATTGGTGCAACAACCAACTACACAGATCAAAAATCTAACAAGCAATTTTCCAAATACGGATTGGTGAGTTTATGTATGGTATACATGGTATACATTGTACATGGTATAAATTGTACATGGTATATATTGTACATGGTATACATTGTACATGGTATACATTGTACATGGTATACATTGTACATGGTATACATTGTACATGGTATACATTGTACATGGTATATANATTTAAACATATATCTTTATATTAAAATCTAAACATATATCTTTATATTAAAATCTAAACATATATCTTTATATTAAAATTTAAACATATATCTTTATATTAAAATTTAAACATATATCTTTATATTAAAATTTAAACATATATCTTTATATTAAAATCTAAACATATATCTTTATATTAAAATCTAAACATATATCTTTATATTAAAATCTAAACATATATCTTTATATTAAAATTTAAACATATATCTTTATATTAAAATTTAAACATATATCTTTATATTAAAATTTAAACATATATCTTTATGTTCCAATTTAAACATAAATCTTTATATTCAAATTTAAACATATATCTTCAAATTCAAATTTTAAAAATATATCTTTATAATTAAATCTAAACATATATCTTTATATTAAAATCTAAACATATATCTTTATATTAAAATTGAAACATATATCTTTATATTAAAATTTAAACATAAATCTTTATATTCAAATTTAAACATTTATCTTTATAATTAAATTTAAACATAAAATCAGAGAAAAAAGGCGATTTTATTAGGGATGGGAGTCTTCTTTTTTCTTTCGTTTTTTTTCAATTTAAAATAAAATAAATTTCTTTTATTTTTTGTCAACATTATCGCTCATTTTCCATCTTTTTTGTTTAGTTAAATCATTCGTTTAGTAAAATTGTTCGTTCAGTAAAATCTTAATTTGATAAAATTGTTCTTTCAGTAAAAAAAATTTTGTTTTTTCAAAGTTTGTTGGAAAAAACCGTTTATTCAGTAAAAAAAACTAACGCTTAAATTTTTTTTTTCGAAAAAGGCATTCATTCATTCATTCATTCATTCATTCATCCTTTCATCCACCTATTCATCCTTTCATTCATTCATTCATTCATTCATCCTTTCATTCATTCATTCATTCATCCTTTCATTCATTCATTCATTCATTTATTCAGAAAATAAACGATCTTTTTTTCAAGATCTTTCAAACAAACGATTTAGTAATCGTCCAGGGACGGTCAAGATCAGTTAAGCAATTTGAAATTGTTCGTTTTTTAAAAAATCTTTAATTTTTTCATTTCTCTGAATGATCCAGATTTTTTGTCTATTGATCGTTGTTTTGAACAACACCATCGTTCATGAAAAATTTTGTTCCTTCACAAAAAATCTGCCCATCTCTACTTTTTAGCGGTAAACAGAAAACAGAATTATCTAAGAGCATTGAAACAAGTGCGCGTGTTTTGTGGCTTTGTTTGTTCCGAATGTTGGCTATAGCAAAAAAAACATTTCTATTTGATTTATCATTTTTAAATTTCAGAAACTAAAATATCTAGTTCTTTAAAATCTCCATGAGTTGTTTTTAAGGTGTAGGTGACATTAAAGGCCTGATCGGATCGAATGTAAAAAGATCAAAATCTCTTTTTTGTGCATATTATCGTAAGTAAACACAAAACAGGTATTTCTAAATAATTGATAATTTGAAAGTTTTAGCAAAATATAAATTTCATGTAATGTTACAAATCATGGGTATTTTGATATTATAATTGTTTGACTCTCACCTCTGATGGTAGGTTGAGATCAAATCTTGAAAATGTTTGGTCTAAGACCGGATCATTTTAAGATCATGAAAATGCATGACACTAGTCTGAAATTATTGCACTACAGAGCAAGGTTAAAAATCCTGAAAAATAAAAGCATTAGATAATTGACATCAAGGATGTAAGGCAAGGAAAGTTATTTCAGAAGTGTACACATCTTTTGTATTGCAGTGTACTGTCTCTGGGCGCTAATGTAAACACAAGACGGATGTCGAAGTCTGACATGGGATCCATGTTTCACATAAAAAATCAATGAAATATTCTGGTCATAGGAAACTATTATGTGAATTATCAAAATTATCAAAATTCACTGGTTTCAATATGTACACAGAGTATACACAACCGCAATTGACTCTCCTTGCCTTACATTCTTGATTGACATTACAATATTTATGTACCTTCCCTTAAATATCTCATCTATAAAATTCCTTTATAACAAAGTTTATATTAGATAAAAATCAGAATTTTTTCACGTATAGTTTTTACAATTATAAAAGTTACTTGGAGTTTTCAAACATTTACTACATTTTCCAGAGTTCGAATTTAATGAATTTAAGCCGCATCTAAAATCCCCCAAAAACCGGTTTCAATTAAGCGCCGGCTTAAATCTTGAAAAATTGAATACAAAGGAATTAAGTCTTTGCCACAAATTCAGTTTTTGTAAAACCTATATCTTTGCAACCTTATAATGTAAACCTTTGGTATTTCAAACTTACACTATTTGATCTAATAGCATTCATAGTTTGAAATATTAAAGGTCTACGACATTGGGTTGCAACGATATTGAAACTAGAAAATCAGAGTTTGTGGCAAAAACTCAGTTCCTTTAAGTGGAACCAACAAAATTTAAACCGTGACTCAAATTCTTTAAACTCAGCCTCAGGTCGTCTTGATTTTTCCATCAGGTTAACTCCTCCTGGTAGCTTTAGCTGTAATTGTAGAAATACTCCTGTGCTACTCCTGTAGCTGTAGTTGTAGACAATTTCTCTTGTTATCTACTCCTGTAGGTTTGATCTACTACCGTAGTTTGCGAAATACTCCTGTACTACTCCTGTAGCTGTAGTTGTAGACAATTTCTCTTGTTAGCTACTCCTAGGTAGGTTTGATCTACTACCATAGTTGGCGAAATACTCCTGTGCTACTCCTGTAGCTGTAGTTGTAGAGAATTTTTCTTGTTATCTACTCCTGTAGGTTTGATCTACTACCACAGTTGGCGAAATACTCCTGTGCTACTCCTCTAGCTGTAGTTGTAGACAATTTCTCTTGTTATCTACTCCTGTAGGTTTGATCTACTACCGTAGTTGGCGAAATACTCCTGTGCTACTCCTGTAGCTGTAGTTGTAGACAATTTCTCTTGTTATCTACTCCTGTAGGTTTGATCTACTCCAGAAGTTGGGGAAATACTCTTGTGCTACTCCTGTAGCTGTAGGTGTAGAGAATTTCTCTTGTTTTCTACTCCTGTAGGTTTGATCTACTTCCGTAGTTGGCGAAATACTCCTGTGCTACTCCTGTAGCTGTAGTTGTATAGAATTTCTCTTGTTAGCTACTCCTGTAGGTTTGATCTACTCCCGTAGTTGGCGAAATACTCATGTGCTGCTCCTGTAGCTGTAGTTGTAGAAAATTTCTCTTGTTAGCTACTCCTGTAGCTTTGATTTTCACCTTCGGCTATTATTCCTGACCCCCGCTTGCTCATAGGCTATACTTAATGGTGAGAAACCATCTGAAAATATTCTGATTTTAGGAAGGGTGAATTTTAAGAACTTAATATTGCAGATAAAATAAACACAGAATTCATTGTCGGGACAATTTCTTGCACTGGTCTCACTTCTCTGTTTAAGTCTACTGGAATGGAGATTTTATTAATTGAGTTTCTTATAGTTCTTAAATGTATCACTAATTCACTTCAGAAGATCGTTTTTGCTGCAGTTGATTCAACAGAAATTAAAAACCCTTTAGAGGCCAAACTCGTATCAATTTTTCAGACACGTGGAGCACCGTTCAATATGTTATTTGATGTTGATTTACTTTAAAGGAATTAAATCGTTGTCACAAACTCAAATTTTTCCTTATATCTTTCCAACCTGAAGGTGTAAATATTATTAGATGTAACAGAATTTATAGTTTGTAATATCTAATGTCTACAACATTGGGGTTGAAAGATAAAGGGATTAGAAAATCTGAGATTGTGGCAAAGACTTAATTCCCTTTATAAATTAGTTTGAAATTTTGCTCCATTATTGGGGATTATTGAATTTGAAGTCCAAGAATGAAGTTAAAACATGCATGGTACATGTGGTATTCTGATAAGATGCCTGAAAAGGGAGCGTATACATTTGGAAAGTGAGTTTTCGACTTTTAAATATGTATAGAAGAAAGATCTATGAGTGGTTTAGACAAATTACAACATTAGAAATAATTTAAGTGCGTATATCATGGGAAGCCCCAGCGTCCAAGAAGCAGAAGTATCCCTTCAGACTGCCTTCTTCTAGGGTAGTGAGTAAAACCAGGTAATTCAAGCTGCTGTGGGGGGGGGGGGTAGCAACCTAAAAAAAATATTGGTCTATGATTTTCAAATTATAAGTTTGTTTACAGGGATTGCAAGCGTGATATCCTTCTTATATGCAAAGATGACAAATGCCCGTTTAACAACGGTACCATTACAACCTTTATCTGATCAATAATGTGGAAGACATTTTCGTTTTCCTAGGTTTAAAAGTGTTTAATTCTTGTGTTTTCCTGCAATAGAAATGATCAGACTTGTGAATCGGGTATTGTCATCTTTGCAAGCAGAATCGCTTCAAACTACGCTTCCTTACATACAGTTCCTTTTATTTCTACCATAAACATCATAATATACAACTAGGGTCAAGAAATTGAGGAAACAACTGTCTAAACAAATTGCTACTCTAGTGGGTAAAGATTATGGACAAACTTATCGTGATTCCAGGTATATTTGAGAATTTATTATTTTTTTTATTAATTACGCTACAGGGCGGAAATTCATATGTTTGAAAATCCCTTGAAAATGAATGTAGTAGGATGTGTACATGTTTGTATTTGTCAAAAATTAAAGCAAGTTTTATTGAGCATTTTTCCGACGTACTTTTTGAACTTTTTTAAAAATCCTCCCTTGCCCCCTAAACATTTAGTTAGGCCCCCTAAACATTTAGTTAGAGGTCTGTTTTTTTTTACTGATCAGGCCTTGAAAAAAGAACATGTATCACCCTCCCCTATCTCAACTCTTAGGGCAAAATCACAGAGAGGGGGGAACACTCCCCCCCCCCATCCATTTTAGACAAAAATAGCACAATCGGGATAGGATTAAATACGGCTTACACTGTCTATGAAACGCTCAAACTTGAAAGCTGGTTATGAATAAACTTTGCAATTTTCTTTTTTTTATTAATAAAAGAGTACATTTAGGTATAATTGTCAAATTCAAAAACAAAAATATTTTTAAACATTTCCGACGTTCTTTTTTGAACTTTAAAAAAACTTTAATGTGCGTAACTATAACATTTTTTGTTATTGTTTTCTTAACTTCTGTCAAACTACTTTCTGGACCATACTCCGCTATTTATTTTACAGAGAAACCGCGATTAAAATTTATCAATTTTTAAATATAAAAGGTTTAAAGGAAACTTTTTAAATTATTATTATCATTACTGTTATTGTTATTATTCAGAGCCCCCTGGCATTGTTCCCTTCGTACAACAGGTTTCAGAGGAACACATAGATGTGGAGTTACATTATTATCAGGTTATATAATTTTCTAATAACATGATTTGCTAGATTACTTCTAAATAACTTCTGGCCTTGCCTATGTGCCTTAAAGTCAGTCTGGTACTTCAAATGAATTGACTCAAGAGCCTCAAGTTAGGCCAATCTCTGGTCTTAACACCAAGTATCATAGTAATTGGCTTAGCATCGTTTTATTATGAGCATTTGTATGTATTTTTTTTTGAGGGGGGGGGCATTTTAAAGGCTGCTCGAAATTATGTCACTTGCTCAGTTTGATTCATAATTAAATGAAAAGTTAATTTCTAATAATTTACAACTATTTTACATAAAGAGAAGTTTATGAAGTTTTACTTTACAAAGTGTTCCCAAGCCCAATTTTGCCTACAAAACATCCAGTGTGAAGCGAGGGAATATGCCAAGTAAAATTTTAGTATCCCGGAAAAGTAGTACAAATGCGCGTATTTTGCCACGAAAACTTCCCAGAGCGTGTTGTTGGTTTACTTGTTAGTCCCTAGGGACGTAAAGTAACTCAACATTGCTCTGTTTTATATTCAAAGAGTCGGTAATGTTCGCCAAAAGGCAATAAATAATGTTAACCTAGTAATATATTACTGTTAAAGGTATTTTCCAAAAGGCATTTCCCGAGGACAACTTCCCAAGTTAAAATTTCCCAGGGCTGCAATTTCCCAAGCGGAAACTTCCCAAAAGTTAGAATAAGATTTCTAGGCGCCTCAGGCTGCAAGAGGGACCGATCACTGCGGCTAGGATTGGGTAGGAGGCCGAATGCTGCGGCTAGAACAGTGTAGGAGGCCGAGTGACAAACTTCGGAAGTTGCCGTTTGGGAAATTACACTGCAGTTGGGAAGTTGCCACTTGGGAAAATGCCTTATGTAAAGTACCTAAAATTCCTATTAATTCTTTCAGCCTGGCCTGAAGCAACTATTCTTGTATCTGCTGCTCACTGTAATCAGATCTGTAAAGATTCAGTAACTAATCAACCTCTGGAGATCTGTTGTTGCAGAGTTGATGCTGATCCAGGGTCTTGTAAAAATGTAAAATCTTCTTATTTATTCATTGTAGGCATAGATTAATAACAACACAGATAAAAAGCTAGATGTCGTCTTTTAAAAAAAACTTAAATCACGAAAAGACTAAATCTATTGTTCTATCTGTGTTATTATTAATCTTTGGTTATAGGGTTTCTATTCCATTCCCAATATGTGCAATAGGGTTTCCATTCCATTCCCAATATGTCCAATAATAACACAATACTTGATCTGTAACTGTCTAAATTATTTTTACAAATTCAAAATTTATCCGGTTGTATACAACAAAAACCGTACTCGTGGGAGAATAACACAAAGAAATTGAGTCTTTTCTGATCCCATCTTTGTAACCTGAGCTGAAAACTTTAGAATGGGATATCCATAATCCTGCTCTGTTAATTAATCCGGAAATTAATAACATGATGAGAACAAGCAATACATAATCCGGAAATTAAGAAAAAGAGAGGATCAAGCATTGATCTCGGTATTCACCATTCTAAAGTTTTCAGCTCAGATCATAAAAAGAATTCATAGTTTGAAATATTAAGGTCTATGACAGTGAAAAATCAGAGTTTGTGGCAAGCAAACACTCAATTCCTTTTGCGCATGCATAATTGTGCTAAAACTTGTGCATTTTCTCACGGGCTAGTTTTTTAATAATTAATTTATAAATATATTTTTATTTTTATTAAAGGTAATTTTTAACAAAAGTTTGTCGAAGTTTTCTAAAGAAAAACCTAATTGAATCTGCAAAGTATATATAGTATTGTTCAGTCTAGTTCCTATTGTGGTTTTCGTCCTGAACTAATGGAGGCTGACCCCATTGATCTACAAATAGGTCAGTTTTTTCGGCAGTTCATTTAATTTTACCAAGGGTTCCACAGACCAATTTTGTTACTTAGGTAACATTGGTCGAGGGAACCTGAGGGTTGAAAAAAATTCACAATCACAGAGCGGGATTTTATTTTACTTAATTGGCCCAAGGGATAATTTTAAGTAATAACACATCTCGTTGTTGGAGGAATCGATGGCAATGTTGGTCAAAGGAGGTAAAGAAAGGAAACAGCTGATAAACAAATTTCTACATAATAGTTACTTAAAGGGACGGTGAGCCCGATTCCCAACAGTACTCTTTTTTCTGAAAACGAACCAACCCAAATTCATGATTTTGAACGACGACAATGCACTCTAACTCAGTAATTATACATCGTGGAAACGTTTTATATGTCTCAAATGAATCCTAAAGAATTTATCCACAAGACTGCATACTCAGTCTAATCCCTATATCTTTGCAACACAATGAAATAAACCTTTGATATTTAGATCAAAAGTCAAAGTTTAAATATCTAAGATTTAAACCAAATGGTTAAAGAGAAAAAGTTTAAGTTTTAACTTTAAGTTTGTGGTAAAGTCTCAATTCCTGAAGATTTTTGGGTTCTAACGTGCTAATATTCTATTTTGGGTTTTTACGTGCTTATATTCTATTTTTGGGTTCTTACTTGCTTATATTCTATTTTTGGGTTCTAACGTGCTTATATTCTATTTTTGGGTTATGGGTTCTTACTTGCTTATATTATATTTTTGGGTTCTTACGTGCTTTTATTCTATTTTTGGGTTCTTACATGCTTATATTCTATTTTTGGGTTCTACGTGCTTATATTCTATTTTTGGGTTCTTACTTGCTTATATTCTATTTTTGGGTTCTTACTTGCTTATATTCTATTTTTGGGTTCTAACGTGCTTATATTCTATTTTTGGGTTCTCACGTGCTTATATTCTATTTTTGGGTTCTCACGTGCTTATATTCTATTTTTGGGTTCTCACGTGCTTATATTCTATTTTTGGGTTCTTACGTGCTTATATTCTATTTTTGGGTTCTAACGTGCTTATATTCTATTTTTGGGTTCTTACGTGCTAATATTCTATTTTTGGGTTCTAACGTGCTAATATTCTATTTTTGGGTCTTACTTGCTTATATTCTATTTTCGGGTTCTTACTTGCTTATATTCTATTTTTGGGTTCTTACGTGCTTATATTCTATTTTTGGGTTCTTACTTGCCTATATTCTATTTTTGGGTTCTTACGTGCTTTTATTCTATTATTGGGTTCTAACGTGCTTATATTCTATTTTTGGGTTATAACGTGCTAATATTCTATTTTTGGGTTCTTACGTGCTTATATTCTATTTTTGGGTTCTTACTTGCTTATATTCTATATTCACCATGTCATATTTTTTTTTGCTTTGTTTGGTTGGGATTGCTTTACACTTATAGTTTTGCCAGGTACGAAAAAAACTGTACCTTCCCAGAAACTGCAAATAGTTCTAAGGAATTAAGTCTTTGCCACAAACTCATATCTTCTCATCCTTATATTTTTGTAGCATGATGATGTTAACCTTTGATTTTTCAAACTTAGATTATTTGATCTATCTTGATCAATTTTGAAATATCTAAAGTTTAAAACTTTGGGTTGCAAAGATAAAGGGATGATAAAATCAGAGTTTGTGGCAAAGACTCAATTTCTTTGCTTCTATCTACTAAACTTTTGCTTAGTTTGTGGGGAATTCTCTCTAGAACTAGCGCCTGAAACTTATAGTAAAGAAAATGAAAGGGTTCTGCAGATTGAAAAGGTAAATAATTATAGATATATATATATATAGTTGTGAAGCAAAAGGCATATATATTTTAGATTACCAACCATCCCAAGTATTTGCTTGGTTATCCTGCTCTTGGTTTTGATATTGCTGTTTACCATGTCAAGAATCCTCAGGTATAGAGAGAGAGAATACGATTCAGTGAAGTTCTATAGTTAGATTTCTACTCCACTGGAGGCCTCCGGAGGGATTTCTACTCCACTCTGGAGGCCTCCGGAGGGATTTCAATTACACTGGAGGGTTTTGGAAAATCGTTAAAACTTTACTCAGGGCCATTTATATTCGACTGGGGGCTTTAAATTCCACTTGAAGGATTCAGATATCTATCCAGGTGGTGTATAATTCCACTGAAGAGATTCAGATATCCATCCTGGGGGTTTAAAATTTCAAAAGACTTGTAAAAAGTGATTTTTCCAAAACCCTTCAGTAGAATTGAAATCCCGGCCATGGTGGTCTCCAGTGGAGTCAAAATATTACTACGAACTTCCGTGGCTCAGAGAATACAGACAACAATCATAAAGGGGAGTGTACACGGAAATTCAAGGGACCCTCCATGCAACGCTGGCAATGCCCGATTCACAACGATATGCTTGAAACGTTTATCTGATTAATAGGGATGAAAGATATTATTGTTTTACTGGGCTGTAAAGGGGCTGTAAAGAGACTGTAAAAGGGGGTATAGACTGAAACCTGAGAATCTCAGGCGTTCAACGATACATATGAACTATCTAAAATCCTATAGCTTGAGTCTGAAAGTCGTCTGTCTATTCCACAGTTTTCTGGTTCTGACTATACAAAATGAAAAGTTTCAAGAATTAAATATTTCTATTTTTAGGAGTTGAGAGCTTTAAATTCTGACAATGTAGATCCGATTGCAAATAAAACTATTTACCCAGCCTGTCTTCCTAAACTATCCTTCAGTCAATATAACAATGCCTACCCTGTAAGTGATATATAATATTAGGCAACATTTTGAAAAAAATGATAATTTTTCAATCTGAATATTAATGTTTAAATGATCTATATAATAAAGCATATATATACGTATATATATATGCATGTATAAATATGTCAGCTATACCTGGATAAACTGCTGAACCGCAAAAAAGAATGCGTAAACGATTCGAATTTTCTAAAAAAAAATACAAGAAAAAATCTTTTAAATCGACTGTATTTACCATTATTTTTATGCAAAATTTTCGCTAAAATCCTTTCGCATTTTTTCGGGTTATTTTCGCATTTCCTATTCTAGAAAATTTCGCATTTTTTCGCAAAACAGAATGAAGCGAAATTTCGCGAAAAAACGAAAAGTTTCGCATTTTTCGCCAGTAAACGAATTTGGAAAAATGCGATTTTCTTTTTCGCTAGAAACCATAGTTGTATTTATTTTTGACTCTTTGAAAAAATGTCGTATACCAAAGCTAAATCATACAATTTTTAGATTGATACAGAGCAAATGATCTAATATTTCTCGCCACATATACACTTTTTCCAATTCCTTTATCTTTACAACATGATGTCGTAGACCTTTAATATTTCAAACTATGAATTCATCGATTGTGAAAGTTTGTAAAATTAAATCTAAAAATCAACTACTTTGAAACATGTAGTGAATAGAAAATTATAGTTTAGCAAAAACAGAAAAGTTTTATAAAATGTTTGTGTGCAATTGTCTTAATGTAATGGTTATTTCTAGAAAATTTTCTGAAAAGGCAGAAATAAAAAGTTTTAAAAATGGAAAAGAGTGTGAATTTAAGCTTTTAAAGAATCATAAAAATTAAAAAAATTAAAAATCCGGGAACCAATGAATTTATATAGCACCACCACAAGTGCACAATAGTTTTATAAAAGCTTGCTAACAAACCAGAAATAAAAATCAAAGTTAATTTCATATTTATTTTGATTTAAATTGAAAAAATATTTAGAAAAATTCTAACATTTTTGGACAAAATCCGTGAACAAATGAATCTTAAATTTAGTATTAGAACACGATGACTTAATAGCACGTCTAAAATGAAATTGATAAAGTTTACAATAGTTTGATAAACATATTTTCAAGGGAGATTTCTATGCATGGAAGGATCCAGAGCCGACGTTTAAAGCTCCTGTAGAAATTTTGAGAACTTATGTACGAGATAATTTGTTACCGAGAGAGGATAAACTTAATAAGGTAATTCTAATAGTTCAGATTGAGTCTGTTTATAAAAAGTTTCATTAATGTTTAAGACAGGTTCGATTTTGAAGTGTCACAACGCCTCGGGCTTTAACTTTTCCGCTCTAACTCGCATATCCTTTTCTGTAGTTGCAACACTTCAAAATCAACCCTGTCTTAAACATTGACGAACATTTTTATAAACAGGCTGAATCTTTGTGACCTACAAACCTAAAATCTAACGGGTTCCAAAATCAAAACTTGAGGCAAATTGGTTCAGAAACGTTCAAAAATTAAGTTCGGTCATCCAAACATACAGATAAACAGAGATAACAATTCTATATATATATATATGACTAGCTTGGAACCCCAGCTTGGCCAGGAGATCTTAATAATAAATCAAAGCTAAGAACATTCCCGTGATCCATCCATCGAGTTTCCACACTCCAAGTGCCGGGCCTGGCTTTGCCCAGGTTACTAATAGTTACTCCTGCCATTAACCAGCGCTTTATAGTCAAAACTAATGCTAAGAACATTCCCGTGGTCCCGAAATAAAATTTTGAGGCAAATCGGTCAAAGGATCCCTGAGTTTTGATCGGACATACAAACAAACAAAAAAAAATCTGAGATTACTACTTATGTCTAGGTTGAGTGTGGGGATCCAGGATGGATGAATTCTAATACATATTATCCCCCTGGGACAATTTGCTTTAAATCCATTGTTCAAGACAGGTATAAACAACATGTTTAGCATGTACTAACTCATTAGTAAACCATAGGGTAATTTCCTTATGATCAATCAACAAAAAGATTAAGATTTTCAAGTCACAATTTGCTACATCATTTTAAGATGCTAGGCTTTAAGGGCGCTTCGGGCACATCTTCTATATTAACTTTTAATTGTACCTAGCTCTGAATGTGAGCATCATATAGAGTCTAGTACAATAGATGGCAACGTAGAATTTGTACACTCTCAGTACAGTTGTATTCTGTCGTCACAAGTGTCAATTCAGTTTTTTTGCCCGACAAAATCATCAATAATAGTGATAATTTTAGAATAAAGTGCTTTTCTTACAATAAAATAAGTGCAATTATATGTGTTCTTTAGTATCTGTTTTTACACGTTTTTATTTAATCTTGGAAAACATGTCAACTAATGTGAGAAAATTTCGCTTTCCTTGTTATATTTGACACTTGTGACATCGTTTATATTTGGTTAATTTCTCTGTTGCCACCTATTGTACTTGATAATCTATTTGGTGAGCATCTTCTTTTGAGTACTCTAATTGATATTTGGTAGTTGTTAATTTAATCAATGGAATTGAGTCTTTGTAACAAACTCTGATGTTCTAATACCTATATTTTTTCCAACTGATTGTTTAAACCTTTGATATTTCAAACTTTTTTATTTCATCCAACAGAATTCATAGTTTGAAATATCTAAGATCTACGGCATTGGGTTACAAAGATATAGAAATTAGAAAATCTTAGTTTGTGACAAAGACTCAATTCCTTTCTGAACAATCTCTTTATCTGGTTTATTTAGCTGCGTAGAGTTTGGTAACTCTGGTTCTCCTGTAGCACTGAGAGCTCCCTGGGAATTATCTGGAAAACAAAATATTTCAAGGTTCCATTGGGCAGGAACTCTCTCTATATCAAAAGGTACATGGTGTCCCAATAAACATGGGAATTCTCTGACGATTTTAATATCGTCTTTGTCAATTATTTTAATTAATTCTTATTTAATGCTGGCAAAACTGTTGTACAAATTAGCTGACATATTTTGAATATCCCGTCCCTAGGGGGGTGAACAAATTTAATTCTGTACCTTGCCAACGCCAGGTACTCCAACTATTTATGTATCAGAGATTGAAAATGTACATTGGTCTTTTATATGCATTTAACTAGCTGAAGTTTCCGGCGTTGCCCGTGGCATTTTAAAAATTGAATTTTGAAGAAAAAAATCTGAAGTTTTAATTAGTTGACCCCTGGCCCAGAAAAAAATAACAGATATAAAGTTTGAATATCAGCCTGTCAAATCATTATTTTTTTTAATCAAAATATTTAGAGTTCACTCAACTACAACTGCCTTAGTCTTTAAGCTTGATATAGTGAACAACCGGAGTCTTTTTTTGTGTTTAACTATTAGATTAGATTAAGATGGTTGAACTATGTAGATTGTAGACGAAGTTCAACCAGTTCTCTTCAGCTTTAACTTGCTCAGGGACAAAATTTAATGAATTTGAGCTACGTTGCTAAACGGCCAGTTCAAATTTGAACCACCGATACAAAGTTAAAGATTAAGGCAGGAATTGAAGCGTTGATTCAAATTTGAACCGGCGGTAGGAAGCTCAAATTCATTAAATTCGGACCCAGTTCAGCTATTGATTAAATCTAGTGCCTGGTAAATATAATTGTATGCATAGATTAATAACAACACATATAAAACACTGGATGTCATCTTTTCAAGATTTCAGGGTTTTTCGTTCACAATAACCCTGTGACAGAAGCCAAAAGGAGTTACCCGCATGCTGCGTTGAATTACAAGATAGAGAGAGATAAATTGTTCCTCGCAGCATGCGCGTAAATCCTTCGGGCCACTGTCTCCGGGTTATTGTGAACGAAAAACCCCTATATCTTGAAAAGACGACATCTATTGCTCTGTGTTGTTATTAATCTATGATTGTATGTTTAAGGCTGTGACCAAACGTTTGTGTCTTTAGTAAATAGCAATTCTAGAAAGGTAAAGATTTTCAAACATAAGTCGAATCCGATAATTCATCAATGACAATAAACAAGGTGGCCCAAAAAACAGGTTTTAGGACTTTTCAGCCCTTTTAATCCTTAAAAAGAACTCGAAAATTAGCTCTTTTAAAATAGTTTTTAGTTTTGCATGGCAATATATTTGGGCCTATTTAATAAAATAATTTGAAATATGAACATCAAAGTAATCTAATTAGGTTTTCATTTTAGAATTTCTAAGCATAGTTTTTTTCTCTCCCCTAGGGGCGAATATATTTCCATTCAACTCTTCTCTTCAGATAATTGGTGCTGACTGACTTCATTTTGGGGCATAAGATGGCCGACGATATTGCTTTCTCTGCCGGCAGATAATGCCGTTCCTCCTTTCTCCAGCATTATACTATTCCCTAACTTCCCTATTTCTCTAGATAAGAAAGGGTTCAATACTCTCCGGAGATTGTTGTTAGGCTGCCCATACTCCGAGTTCACTGCACCCCGCGGCCAGCTCTTGGCCATATTTGTTCAACACTGTTCTATATTTAGGGTTGCACACATACTTGGAGTTCAATACCCTTGGACCGACTCCGGACTATTTAGGCTTTATAGATTGTATTTACTATGCATCATTTCCCCGGCTGGGAGAAATGAACTTAAATCAGCTTATGTACATATGGCTAAACCCTTGGTCGGTTTACACTAGATTTAAAAACGTTAATCCCCGTTTTTTTTCGGCCACCCTGTATATATTGTGTATTTCTTTTTTTCACAATTTACATTTATTCAAAAAGAAGAAAGAAAAGTGTAGCAAATAGAAGAAATTTAAACCCCTCGGGATTCAATGATAAACCCTTGGCCGGGATATAAACCCTTGGGATATATTTAATAAAAATGTATTTTAGACATCTGTTCCTAAACTGCAAATCAGGTCGGAGAATCCTGCAGTATTTACAGGAAAATCCATGCAAATTTCTATAAAACAAAACTTTTAATTGACAAAATGTTTATTTGGAAAAGCCAATAAAATTGCCAAAGCACAAGATTTTTAATGGCTCCGCTGCTAAAATCGCAAATGGGATTTTAGAAGAATTTTTTTATTTAATGTTTTGCATTTTTTTGCTCAACGCCCAAACAATTTTTTTGTGCTCTGTGGTTTTAATTCTATCCAAATAGATTATCAATTACAATAGATGGCAACAGAGAAATGGACCAATTATACACAACGTCACAAGTGTCCAAAATAACAATAACGCCGAAATTGTCTCACATTAGTTGACATGTTTTCTAAGATTAAAGAAAAAAGTGTAAAAAGAGAAACTAATGAAAACATAAAATTGCACTTGTTTTACTGGAAGATAAGCACTTTATTCTAAAATTATCACTATTTATAATAACATAAAACTGTTGACACTTGTGACGTAAGAATACAGCTGTACTCAGAGTGTACAAATTCTACATTGCCATCTATTGTACTAGACTCTATTTGGTTAAATCTATTGTTCTGTTTATAAACAGGGATGAGCATTTGACCCCCCCCCCCCACTATCGTTTTTTTTGCAATAACTGAAAAGTATGAGAGCTAGGAAGCTCAAATTTTCTGAATTTTTCAACTAACAAATGCCCATTACTTAAGGCTCAAAGCTGGGCTCTTAAACCTACTTTTTCAGTTTTTCTTGAATACACATGCAGGTTTAAACAAATTGTAAAATGTTTTTGCAGATCTGAATTTGCTGGGTCAATGGCTTTTAAAAATGTATGATTTGTTGCCATTTGCGCAAGTTTTTTGCACATTTTTTGCCTATCAATATTAGCTAGGTTTTTCAATAAGTATTTGGTTTTGCTTATTAACTAGATTTCGCAATAAAATTTGCCATTTTTATTGCAGATTATTGAAGAACCCAACGGCTTTCCAAAAACGTATAAAATGGTATAGATTTGTNTGACAACAGACTTCAGGGTAAATAGGCTTCATAACGCTAACCATCAGTAATCATATATTGCTAAGAAATGAGAATTGGATTTACTAGATGCAAGGTGTTATCTGGATTGGATCGCTGAACAATATAATCACAAGGTATTTTAATTTTTAATTTCTTTTAAAATCAGTGAATTATAAAAGTTTAATATTTTTCAGCCCCCAGTTGGATATACAAGACCGAAACAGTGTGAGATTGCGGTAAATATTATTGCTTATTTTTGTTACTTATAAATAGAAGGAGAAAAGTAATATTTTCGAGGTTGTTGCTCTTCTAGGTTTGATTTCACTGAGAAGTATGAAATAAACAAATTTATCTGGTTAAATATTAGAAATTCAAACCATTTTTGTTCTTCACAATAGCTCTTCTATATGAGGAGTTATGATTGATAACATATAAGATTTTAATATTATGAATAATTTACTTTAGTTTAACGTGATCACAAACTTAAATTTTTTAATTCTATCTTATGTTATATCAAATAGTCAAAGTTAGAAATATCATAGGTTTACACCATCAGGTTGCAAAGATATACGGATTAGAAAAATCAGAGTTTTTGCCAAAAACTCATTTAATTCAGGTTGGAGACAGGTTGGATAAGGATAATGAAATGTGCAGAACCAACCGGAATACAACATGTGATCTCACAAATACAAAATGTAATCTGGAAGCATTTGAAGGATATGCTTACAATATATACAGGGTAATTAGAGATGTGCATTAATGTACTTCATTCATTTCATGTGACTTTCAGATACGCAATAGTTAAACCATCTAAACCTTTGTGTTTTAGAATTATAGAGTTATTTCTGTGTTTCCTTTTAAAATTAATTAATTATTTTTTAATTGTGGTTCTTTAAGTATAAAAGTGACGTCTGCCCCCCCCCCTCTTTCTGTTTTTCCCCAGGACATTCACTATCAGGATAATTTGTAGCACATTGAATCTTCGTGACTTTTCAGCAACACTAATATAATTGAGATACATAATATGAATGCAAAGTGCAGGGTTAGGAATAGGGTAGAATAGGGCGATCTAAAGGCTGGTCGGTGATTTAAAAATAAAAACTAATATCGCCCATACCTTTTTTTATAATTTTAGCTACCGAGATAACCAGAAAACAATGGAATAGAAAGACGACATTATAGCAATACTTTAGCGTTTTGATATTGTTACAATGCAAAAATGTTTACTAGTAACTTAGCAAAGTACAATTAATTGAAAAGGGTCTATTTACACTGTACAATTTCTATGTTTAATGTTCATTGAACTAGTTTAAGTCCTAATTTGAGTTTAAAAGTCGTCTTTCTATGTCAAAATTTGCCAACAAATATTTTTTTAACGTTTTTCCAACATTTTTAGAAAACCTTTCTAGCACCCAACCAACCATTGAAGTTGGCCGTCTTGTTTTTTTAATGAGCTGGCCTTGAAAAATTGGGGCTATGCACTTTATACCTTTACTGAAAGACCTAATTAATTTACTCTAAGCCACTTTACCCACCTGTCAGATTTTAGACTATAGAAAACTACGAATATTCCTCTATTTTGTTGGGAAAAGGGGATAAAAAGTACTGTTTTGAATCGGGCATGCAAGGGGGTCTCTTGAAATTGTTTTGACAGGCCCTAAAACGACAAGGCCGTCATAGTAACCAATGTTCTTATACCGTGAATATTAACACTTTTTTTTAACTATCAATTTAATTTTTCCCTCTAGCTCAATGTACGTCCTAAATTTGGTGCAACAAAGTGCTTTGTGTTTTTTTTCTTCAAATTATAGACCAGAGGGATGTTATAATTCAAACAAGAGTTGCAGGGAAAAGTTTAAATGTAAAAAAAATTTAAATGAAAAAAATTATATTGTAAACTAATTTCTTTAAATATATTTTAATTAAGAAATATATATATTAGATTTATTTTCTTGGTTTTTTATTACTCTTTTATTTTTTAGTGCAATGATACAAATGGAAACATGGTAAATTGTGCAAATAATTGCAAGGTAACTTTTTATGTTTTTTGAATAATTTGAAAATACTTGTAATTTTTGCGTGCCTGGGACTGGAGTGAAAATCCTTATAAAGACCGATCAACAAGAATCTGAGAAAATTATGAAGATTTGGGCGTCAAACCTTATAGAAATCCAATGTATGGACCCGCTACGTATAGCAACATGGCGTATTTTCCGGGAGTAGATATAATTTTCATAAAATCCTTTTATTTAAATGGTAAAAATTAAATAATCAGTGTAAAGTAGATATAATTTTCATAAAATCCTTTTATTTAAATGGTAAAACGGAATGTTATGAAATCATATTAGCATTAATGGAGAACTTTTTTTTTTGTACTTTTAAGAATTTTTTCCAAACCTAAAAGGTACGTATTAAACTATTTTGCTCCTTTAATGTCTAGGTTATGTAAAAAAATAGAAATTATGATAATGATAATGATAAGCTACAATATTTTACAAAAACGTTTAATTTTTCAAAAATATAAAAAAATGTTCTCCCGGAAAATACGCCATGTTGCTATACGTAGCGGGTCCATACGTTGGATTTCTATAAGGTTTGACGCCGAAGATTTGCTTGTTTTTCTACCGGAGAATTGGTTATTTCTAATTATGATTTCACGATAAAAAAAAAATGACTTGCGCATGAACACTATAGAGACATAATGCAAGGTTTTGTCAGAATTTTATACTTTTTAAGATATAAAATCAACTTTAAGTTTCTCATTGTTACTTATTCTTATCATTGGGAATGGGACATCACAATGAAATCTACATTAAGGGTGTTGACCCAAATGCTGTTGTGGTTGGTGGAATTGCTGTTGGTGTAACTAGTGCAGTAGGAGCCGCCATTGCCAGTAAGTTATTAATTTGTACAATTTACTTATTTACAATAAATATTTAGTTTGTGGTCTGTAAAGAACTGTAAGCGTAATATCAAATTACCCTCAATACAATGATGTCAATGGGTCAGGCCATTTGAAATCATTTTCCCAAAAGTCGGTAGGAACAATCTTCGATTTTTTTCAAACTTTAAATATTTGAAGACCCATGTGAGTCATTATATAATCAGTAATGTGTAGACTCTGTTGACCTCCGTGTTCGGTGCACAGAGGTCATGAAGTTTTGACCTCTGCAAAGAGGTTGCTCCTTTCAAATTACCATAAGTTTTTTTTTGCTATTTGAGTTATCGACCTACTTTTAACGTCCTTAAATAGGTCATGAATAAGGCTTATTAAAATACTTATTAATAAGGCTTTATTTGAAATTTTGCGAAAAAAATGTTCATCATCAAACATTTATTAAAGTAAAGAATGATAAATTATAAATTATGATATAATAAAACTTCTAATATTTAGCTCTAATTTTGTGTTCGCTGGGAACCATAAGAATAAGATTATATTATATAAAACACTATATTTATTAAGATGGAATCGGAACTGGTGTGTTTGGAGTAGGATTACCATTTCTAGGTAAATTTTACACAATTTTTCTATGTAATTTTAAAATATGTTTTTGTTAAAATGTATTTGCTTCCATGTTATCAAGATTTCAGAATAATGCTGCTGTACACCGGCTCTTATTTTGCATTTGAACAATAAAGTTTTACAATCAGTATTTTTATGCGTATGCAGGTGGTTTGGAGGTATAGGTTTAGGTTTAGGTTTAGGTTTAGGTTTAGGTTTAGGTTTAGGTTTAGGTTTAGGTTTAGGTTTAGGTTAAAGTTTGACCCTATTCTAGCTATTTTTTTATATTGCGTAAAAACTATAAAGGTTAGATGGCTGAAATTCTTGACTTAACCAAAATATAATTTTTCTAAATCTTAGAAAAATATTGATGACTACCTGATGGCGTATATACATATATATTATTAAGGTGGTATGGTGTATATATATATATTATTAAGGTGGTATGGTG